CATTTAATATTGAATGAGACACATCTGAGTGACGATGCAATATTGCAGAAAGTGCAATCAAATAAATCTCGTATAAAACTTTAAATTCATCTACTTAGATTGCGAATGTTATAATTAATTTAAAGTCATTTCCTTCTATCGATCGGTGTGTGTCGTTTTGTGTACAGTGCCATTTGCCATACAATTTTTCTTTCTCACTGCTTCACATTTTTGCGGTTTTATTTTGCACAAGGCAAAAAAAGAAAAAAAATATTATGAATTTATACGAGAGTTAGATATTTAATAAGATCACCAACACAGCATGACATGTATCATAGGTCAGGGATGAATGGATGGATGGATAGATATTTTAAACATTTCGCACGCGAGCAAATGAAAGCATTCGAATGTAAAAAATATGATTTATGTGTGGACATATTAATCTCGCATTTTTTTGGTATATTTTTTGCTTCTGTTCTGTATTTTTTTTTTATTACTGCTTCAAGTTTGACACATTCATTATCGCTTGTAGAGTTTGTGTATATCGCTATGTACATGTATAATTGAGAAGGGGAAATTATGAGAGGATATTACATTTAATTGATATTTATGAACCTCCATTGGCATCCCTGCATTAAATTCATCTCGTGATGCTATTATTATTGACTCACTCTCTTCGAAGTGTGTCTTAATAGCTGTTATTTTAGGTGATGGGGTGATAAAGATGCGTTTTGACTTAATGTTAATTTCACGAACTTAATAAATATAAATTTTAAGGCAAATAAATGAAAATGCGTCTAATCCAATAATTTCTCATCCTCTTCCAATTCCACCTTCTCGTATTTACAGTCAGCCTGTATTTATAAAATATTTTTCATCATAATTCAAACAAATTCTATAATGAAAAATATTTTCTGATGACAAATAAACCGAGGAAAAAAAATTGAGAGAGAGTTGAAAAAATTGCATTTGAATTTATTTTTAGTTAAATAATTATATCAAGGCTATGAGACTTGTTAGATGTTTTTATGGGCAGGAAAGCAGCGATATGAATTATAAGTATTGAACGAACATTACTTCGTAACTTGTTTTAAATAATACATGACAATTCTCTGAAAGCTATAGATTAACAAAAAAAAAAATATGTGAAGGCTTAAAGTAATGTCGAGATTTGTGAAATCAATGATGAAAGGTGTTACAAATTTTTTTGACTGAGTGGAAATAAAAGTTTATGTAACTTTATAGAAAATATAGTTTTTGGTTCAATTTCATGTTTATTTCATTTGTGAGATGCTAGCACGTGCGAAACTTTTTTTTACTACTCAAATAAAGTGCTTTCCATATTTAATATCTACAATATCTTGATGTTGATTCGACCAAACAGAAGAATCGTTAAGTATGGCCATAGTCCATAAATCAAGCAACTTCAAGTAGCAAACCACTTATCAAATACTATAAGCACATACTCAATTTAAGCTAAAATCTTCTCATCAACAAGAAAATCACAACATTCATAGATCTCACATGTTGGTCAAATCTCATGCTAAAATTAAAGTAATGAGCAAGTAATTCAAGCTCATTAAAATTTTCAATGTAAGATAATCGTCTACATTATACATTGCTCATGACCAAGATAACGAATAGCATAAAAAGTTCCGACACCTTGACAAACAAAATTCACAATAAATCTCATCTCGCACAATGTTGCATTTTTAATCTTTTTTTTTGCCTCTAAAAATTCATATGAAATTTCACAAAATAATAAAATTAAAAAAACTTTAATCTTCGCAACGTGATCCCACATGAAAATTAACTTGACAATGCATGCAGTATCGCACAATTTGCTGACATCAAAAGAAATTAACTGCTTTAAAGACATCATCATGAATGATATACTTCTCGGACTGTCAATTGACTAGCAATTTTCTAACAACAGTATGCATTTATTTGACTATACATCCATTCATTCACATTTTATCTGCTTAAAGTTTCATGCAGTTAATTATCATATCAAGAGACATGCAATTTGCAGTCAGTGTTTAGCATTTTTTTGCTGTTAACCATGTCATGTCTTTGTGATATCTGTGTCCAAGTTAATTACACGTTTGAATCAATTTTTGTTGCTGTCACTGCCTCTTGCTGCAACGCATCATTATTCACATCATCTGTCTATATCGTCATCTTCATCATCTTCGTCGCGATGTAAATTCACTTCTTTTTCTTTAACTTTTTTTTTTCTGTTTAGTTTTCATTTCGCAGTTGAATTAAAAACAACATAAACATGACGTGAATGCCTTCTTGTTGACTCTTTTTACTTGTAAAATTTTCATTCTAGAATATAAATCTGATTTTCCTATAAATATTTTTCTTTCTTTTCGCGATGACACTATATAGATTTAATTATAAACTATCCACTCGTGTGCGCGTCGCATGATCAAGAATTTTTCACTTTTCATTAAAATAAAGTGCGAAGAAGAAGAACATGAGTAAATAAATCACGTCATGAAGATTATTGAGGTGCATTTTTAAGAAAAATAATGAATTTGAAACCACAAATTTTAAATCATTTAAAATGTTGCGAAATTAAATCATTTCATTGAAAACTCATCAAACTTACATCCATGCAGAAACCCTTTCAGAATAAAAATAAATGATCCAAAAAAAATCTGAATTATTATGTAAACTTTAGATAGCCAGTCAAGAACACTTTAAGAAATTTTATTTTCAAAAACCTGCACAGAGAAAATTATTTTATTATTATGAGAAAAACTAAAAAAATCTTTATGAAGAAGAGGAAGTGCTTGCACACGTTAGAATCATCTCCGATATTATAAATCTGGCAAATTACTGGCAGCAGATGGTAGTAGTGCTGTAAAATAGTTGAAATTATTTTAATAATTAATTTGCATAGTGATTTATGAGCAATTTAAAAGATATGAGTTTGATGTGCAGGAATTTTATAGTTGTAGGGCATTCAGCAATCTAATTTGCTTACATCCAAAATTTAATTTGCTAATATTAGCACTTGCTGAATGGCTAATTGATTGTGTAACGATCCGCATGCACACTCAATCAATTTTACTTTACAGTCATCTGATGAATGAATGAACTGAATCTCTAAATGAAATATCATGAAATTCACTTCAGATCTTTCTATACATAATTCATTGCTATATGCTGGAAAAAAAATATTTGATCCAAATTTTTTGTGAAAGCATAAAAAAGGGATTCAATTTCAATAGAGAGAGTGAGAGACAAAAAAATATCAAAATCATGCAAAATACAAAAGTCGATTATTTCTGATTCAGCATTAAGTTTGACATACGATAATTTTTCATCAGAGATATTTATTTAGACACACAAAGATATACCTTTTATGGCAGCTTTTTGTTCATCGTACATATTGCATACTAATAATGAAACATATAAATATTACTCGCAGTGCTTATTTCGCTTGCAGTAGTAGCACGAACTCAAAATATGATGTTGATCAAGATAGGACAGCGCATTTTCTTTGAAAAAATTTGTTTGTATTTCAGGTGAAATTCTCTGAAAATGTGTCTACAAAATTTAATTGTATTTTATGCAAAAACAAGAAACTTTTTCAATTAAGCAAATTATTCAGCACAAAAAGCCGACAAAAATGAACTTGAAGTTAATAATTTCATGATTTTCAATCCATCACGAAATAGATTGGTTTACTATTATTTTTTAAATGCAAGCATCAGCAGACTTTTACTAATTAAAATAAAAATTCAGCAGCCCAATTGCATACCTTACCACCTCAATTTTTCAAAAAAAAAAAGTATCTGCTTCACATGAACAAAAAAATTGAAACTGAAGTATCTCGTTGAATAAAGACTGAAAAAACATTTGTAGATATCTGCTGCTGTGCAAAATGAGAAAGAGCCAGCAAAAGTGAAGTGCAAAGTGGCACAATTTAATTTTTAGATAACGTGATAACACACGATTTTGTGTTCATTCGTTTTGATGCTGTACATTTAATAGAAAGCAATGTCAAGCGGGAGAGATGAGAGAAAAAAAAGCGAAAGGAAGAACATGGAAATTTTTATAATATCAAATAAATACACAAAGTGAATGAGAAAAGGAACAAAAAAAATTCAAAAGCCAAAAAATGGAGTGGCGACATTAAACCTTGCGGTGGAATTTAGGTTTCTTCTTATTCCTCCTCCTCCTCTTTTCTTGTACAGTATACAGGTCTGTTTTTTGATAAATATAGGACACCCAGTTTGGAATAAAATGAGTTTTTATAAAGACCAAGAAAATGTTCCGTGATCAAAGGAAATTTCAGGAGACGGATAGATAATTGAGGACATCTTTTGTAGATTTTGTTATTTTCTTTTGATTATTTATTAAAAGATGAGATTTATTTAAAATCTTTCTATCAATAATTGATAAAGAATTCTTCAAATTAAAGTCTATTCAGTCTTTGTGATTACGTGTGAAACTAGGAACAGCGAAATCAATCAAGAGATCACATGAAAATTTAACATTTCCCCTCGAGTGCCCTATAAACCAAATTGATTATTATATCACCATAGTTTTATATCCACATACATTTTCCATTTCCACTTACGGAACAAAACTAATCAAAACTGTCTTCATCAATATTCTTTCGAACAAAACAAAAAATCATTGTGAATCTCATCAATTTCATCATTTCTATCAAGTATTCTCCCTCAAAACATCCCCTTTTGTATTCATCACTTCAAACTGGGGATATGCAAATCGAGTAAACAAAGCTTTTTGATGTGTTTTTATAATAAAAAACAAAGAAAGAGAGAAAAAAAGGGAACAAAAACCGACAGGAAAAAAATCCATATCGTTTATAATTTGAATTATTCAGATGTATAGCTCCGATTACATAATATATTTTTTATACTTTTTTTTTGCTCCTTCCTCTTCGAACCTCGCTTTATGCATTAATGGAATTGTGATTGAGAAATATTGATAAAAGGATTTATTTTGTGCTAACCTCAAATTTTTATGTTATTCTACAGGTAAGGACACTTTTCGTGAGTGGCCTCCCGATGGATGCAAAGCCCCGTGAATTGTACTTATTGTTTAGAGCTTATGAAGGCTATGAAGGATCATTATTGAAAGTCACAAGCAAAAATGGAAAGACAGCATCGGTAATTTATAGCATATTGAATGTTAGGTCTTGTTTATCTAATAGAAAAAAACTTTTTATAAATTATTTCAACAGCCAGTTGGATTTGTCACATTCAATACAAGAGCTGGTGCTGAGGCAGCTAAACAGGATTTACAGGTAAGACAATATCGATAAGTACTTCACATTCAACACAACAAATCAGACAAACCCCTTTATTTTATTTTTTTATGTATACCTTCATCAATTATTTTATTCTCATCTTTCTATCTATGCCCAATTTCCATAAAAACATATTTCATAAACAAGAGCTTTATCTCTATAAAATGAAAAGTATATTTTTATATATGATAAATGTGTGTGTGTATGTGTGCGGTTAAATAAATTCTCATATGTATAACTTTATCATCCAATTCAGTATACAATCATCCCATGATTTAAGAGCTCCGTTCCTATCTGTCTCTAAACATATCATCAAATTCTCTGACCCCATTTCCCTTTAGAAATGTTCTGTTAGATTTCTATAATGGGCTTTTGGCAGTAATTTTGATAGACTTCAGGATTTATTTGTGTACAAAAAGTTTCTCCAGAATGTGTCAATTTTTAATGGATGTTCAATGCCTGAAATGATTTATTTTTGAACTTTAAAATAACCTATAAAAATTTAAAGGTTAAAGAAATATTAAAAAATTGGTGAATCCTTCCAATATATTTTTCTAGCAAGGCATTGCTAAGACAATAATAGAATAATCTGACAAAAGCATTCAAAGACCAATTGTTCTATTTTAGGGGATAATACGTAAAGTATTTATGAGCTCGTTCAACAACCTCTCGAATGTCTCTTACACATACAACATTTGTCGTCGTTGTCATATGTTTCATGCATTAATGTTCAATAAAATTGCCCTCCCAACAATAAAACAAAAAGTAAGAATATTTTTTCGATCAAGAGGAAATTGTGAGCATGTGTGTGCCTCAACTATTGAGAAATTTTCTTTTTTATGCTTTTCTCGATAACACTTGCAGCAAAATTTATTGAATAACTTTTTAATTAAAAGTGAAATAAATTTTTTTTTCCCAGCACTTCTCAATAGGATCCTCTTCTTCCCCACTTACACTCTCAGCATTCGCATCTCATTCTTGTCAATTTCATCCCGTACAGCACATATAAAATTTTCAAGTGCATTTACAACTTCAAAAATTCCTTTTTGCTGTAAAGTTTTCATACTGCTCTGTACTGAATGTCTTTCTTATTTCTCATTTTAAATTGACAATTGAAAAAGTATTCTTAATCCCGTAAGTACAAAAGAAACATCAGCAAGTGCAAAAGCAATGACAAAAGAGAAAAAATAAAGTTTAAAAAAATTCTTTTTCTTATCTTTAAAGTCGTTATTAAAGGAAAGAAAGACGTGTGGATGTTAGCGTTTAATGTCTTCAAAAATTGGCTAAAGAATTCAAATTAAATAATAGAATTCTCAAGAATAGATCTTGATCTTTAGATAAATCCTTTAACACAAGCCATTCAATTTAAATACTTCCTTATGAGCACTGCAAATGCATGCACTTATGTTAAGCTGATTCTTAAAAAAAAATTACAAATTGTCCAACATCTAAGCCAACAATCCAATAAACCAAATCCCTCATGGTATTACCGCTTTAATCTCCCTAAATCACATGACACATTTAACTTTCTAATTCTCATGTTGTGCTATAAAAAAAATAACATTTTAAAATCCTTGATGTGCTGTGAATGAAATTAATGCTTGTGTGCAAAAAAGAGACAACAAAGGCAAAGAACAAAAGCAAAAAGCTCTGACAATCAATAAATATCATTTCTCATTTCACAATATGAAATTTTTTGCTATCTCCCCCATGTGCAAGTATCAAATCTAAAAAAAATTATATGAACAAACGTAAAACACAATTTTTTTAGTAATTCCTTTCAAATAGCTGATAGCACGTATCATAATATATGAAAAATAAAAGTTTAAAATTAATATCAATATTTTTTATATATCTCACATGAAATCTACACAAAAACACACATACACACACGAATATCTACACTGATGATACACCACCGTATCTCATATATCTATGACACATATTTTAAATGAAATCACAGAGATTTCTTATTATAATCATTATATTTAAAAAGAAAATGCATTTGCGAATGTGGAAGTTTCGTGGTAAAATTGTCAGAATTTCATGAAACTTTTTAAGGTAATTGAAACTGAACTGTGACATGTGACAAGAAATGTATAGTTTAGATGAATGATAAGTTAAAGCATTGAGTAACTTAGAAAAGGAAAACGTATTAAATTTATTTTAAATGCAGTCACTGAAGAAAGAACTAAATTTACTTTGAGATCCTGTAACTCGTTATAATCTGATAAAGTATTCTATACGTGTCCAGTAAATATCCCCAATTATTTTTAAACTTTATAAAGATAGATAAAGTAGATTCTAATAGAAATTATCCTAAGGACTTGAGTAAAGAGGCGAAAACGACAAGAAAAACTTTTCGTTCCTTCTGCTTAGTTTTAAATAAATGGAAATTCTTTAAATTGTTTTTTCTATTCTTTTCCATCTTCATTCAAGTCTCATTTTATATTCATGCCATATCAATAGTTTTATTGGTTGAACGTTTTTCTTTTCCGTCTTCTTTTATCATGATATATAAACATGTACATACAATTTCTCTATCTATCTGCCGTACCTGCAAGTGTACATATACACACTATATAATGTTATAGTGTCTATATTGTATGCACAAAAAAAAAGAAGAAATGAGGATGAATGAGGAAAAAAAGGCAAGAAACTTATTTAAATATTATGTTGAGCTCAAGATCGAAATTGTTTGCAATTGAATTAAATTCAATGGTAAAAAATCTACATACGATACTAGTCGATTGATTTTCGTTAGTAATTGAAGCAGGTGCTCTACATTTATTCAGTTAATTAATATTTTCATAAAGCTACTAAGACTTGTTGCTTAAATTTCGTGGATTTATTACAGCAAATTGAGGTTGTATTTAGAAAACTTATCCAGAAAAATGGAATTAAACATATCCAAAAACTATATCTTCAAAAATTTAAAATTGACCTATTACCTTGAAATACCAGAGCCCATCCATTATACTAAGTACAAAGCACTTAATTGAAATACAATAATCCAGGGGCGTAGCCAGAAAATTTTTAAGGGGGGGCCCATTTTCGAAAATTAAAAAACGATTGTTTTGTATCCTTAAATCCATATTCATTCTTCATAAGTTTAAATATTTAATTCATTATTCATACATTAAATTTAATTTTTCGTGCTGATTTTGACATTTCTTTCATCATTTTCTCTACATTAACTGGTTCTTCTCTATAAATAATTAATAAAACAATTATCAGATTTTCGTAGGGGGGGCCCGGGCCCCCTATGGCCCCCCCCTGGCTACGCCCCTGCAATAATCCAAGAAAATTATATGTATAACATGGGTACGAGAAGGCACAAAATGTATACAAACTATATCACATGTGTATAAATATTTCAGTTTGTTTTCTTTCTACCATGCCGAATGCTTGCTTCATCCTTAAGGGCCTTCAAACTATGCGAGCTGAATATCAAAGTGCTTTATTTTATAGCTTTTCATAGACCCACCCACCCATCTTGCATTATCTATCGAAAAAATTTCTTTCTGTGCAGTCTTATATTTTATTTTATTTCAACGGTATATCGTCGTACTTCGAGACGATACTAACATCTTTGTACATTTATATCTACTTGCCACATTTATGCATTCATGCATGCATGTCTTGTATTTCTTTCCATGGCTTTTATTATTTTTTTGTAAATTAAACTTTTATAAACAAGCTTTCAGTTTGAAACCATGAGAATCTGACAGACAATGACGACAGAGGAGCCTAAGATCATATTTATATTCTACTTCTTAATGTCTGTGATGTTTTTATTTATCTTCAAGTTTCATTTCTTATTTAAAAGACAGAAAAACGTTTTCCCTCTTTTTTTGCCTACCTTCATTTAACTTTCTGTCGTCATTGTCATCGTATTCCGCATATGCACAAGGAAAAGAGCAGATTGCTAGGAAAGAATATGTGGAATAATAATATATATGTTATTAGTTTATGTACATATTGTTTGCCGTAAGGATAAAAGCCTTAAATAACAGACTTTCAACACTATTTAAAATATTTAAGCTACCGTATGCTGACAATTGATTGAGTACATTTTGCGGTTTATCAATCTGCTTTTTGCAGAAAAGATCAAGGTACTAGCAATGAACGTAATGATTGAGAAGTGTTGCCACAAATTTATACACTCAATTTCTAAAGCACTATTACTGAACATTTTCAATGTGAGGTATGAAATGTTTAAAACGATTTAATCCTAAGATTAAAAGCAACCTGATGCATATTCTGAATTTATTTGAAGGTGAAACTTATTGTTAAAGATTATCTGCTGTTATTAGGCATTAACTAAGATGAGATAAAGATTTTTGAGTTACGTTAACATGATGCTGAATATCAAATTATGGTTGATGCCCAAGAGCTGTAGTATGCGATGAAATAAATGTAAATTATCAACAGCTCGGCATTCACTGTTTACAGAAACTTATTGATTCGAAAATATAAATTCATATTTAAAATTTTAGGTTCATCTAGAAAATTCAATAAAAGTGCTTCTTTATTACCTTTATTTTTGTCTCGTGCAGTTCAGTGGCTTAAAAAATCCTAGTAAAATTTTCCTTAAACATTTCAAGTTCTTAATCCCAATTTTCATCTTATTTCTCCCCTTATTTATATTCCTTCTTGTCATAAACATTACGATTTAAAATGAGATTTTTCTTAAGTTAACAATGAGCGTCTGTAAAGCTGAATAATGCTTTGCACTTTCAAAAGCGGATAGAGATAAGAATCAACACAACCATAACACATAATTTAAGATATTTAATTGCGCGCGTGAAAGGTTATAAAAATGGAGGGAGAAACATAAATTTTAATCGATTGTTACCGTACAGTACTTGCTAAATGTTTAAAAACATTTGTCTCAGAGTTTTTTTTTTCTTGCATTTATGTACATTCAGGAAAACTGAAAAACTTTTTCCTTCTTTATTTTCATGTTTTCCTTTTTGCTCTGGCGCTATCCTTAAAAATGAAGTTGAAGATGAATTCATTTATTTATGTTGAGATAAATTTTTTTATTCAACAGAAAAGTTCTTCTTTCCTTTTTTCATCCTGTTTGTGCATACATGCTTATAGATACAATTTTTTATAGTGTGTTGATTTATTCAGTAGAACATTTAAGGATAGAAGAAAAATTGGGGGTTGAGGCTCATTGAATTTTATCTTTGTTTTTAAATTATCAAGTCAAGTTGTCTTAAAGCAAGGATTGCATGCATCAAAAAATTTAGTCGCAACATTAAGATTATTTTTGACTCAATTCTTTGGTGCATGCAATCCTTGCTCTAAGACAATTATTAATTTTTTTATAGAACATTTTAATATTTTTTAAACCACCGGAAGGTCCAACCCCTCGACAAAGAATAAAATGCAGTAGTAGAAGATGATGAAAAGTATACAATAAAAGCTATGTTGATAATAACTGTGCTGATTTTTCCACTCAAAAGGAAAATAAAGTAATTGCGATTCTTTTTACTCTGCGTATAATAAAAAAAATCAGAACTTTATATATTTTTTATCCATCCATTCTGCGGTTTTGCTGTAGTAATCATTTTTTTTTAACTTTAAACATGCATAAGCCATATGCAGACATTTTACTTATGTGTATGGCATATATATTGTACATACATAAAATTCGGGAATATGACGATACTGACTGACTGAATGTTGGAAAGCTAAATGAGATTCGGAATGTTGATGAAATATTAATGCTGCATTTTCAGCATTTATACCTTTATATACATATTTTTTTTTTCGCTGCATTAACATGCATTTTTTATATTTTAATTTAACCGACAAAAAAAATTGTGCAGTTCCATACGAAGTACAATTATGTGAATGAAAACAAAATGAATTAAAAAACGAGCCTTTTTAATTTTGAGGCAATCAATTTCAGAAATTGAAAAATGTGTACAAAAAAGAAAGATTTTCTTTGTCACTTTTAATTAAGTTTCATTAAATGAAGGAATATATAGAACAGTTTGTCAATTTGACTGTGATTTAAAACAGATACACAAAGCTAATATTTTAATTCATTTCTCAAAAATGCGCTTGTGTCACTCAACAAAATGAGAATATAAGCGAAACTTTTAATTATTCGCGAATGCAATTTCTCTTTATGATTATCACAATTACACACAAAAAACATCCAATTTTTAATTTCATATGTATTATAACTACAAAAACCAACAATTTGCAGCAGGGTGTACGATTTGATCCCGATATGCCCCAAACAATTCGCTTGGAGTTTGCAAAGAGTAACACTAAAGGTAAGACTAACTGCAACCAAAATAAAAAAGTGTGAGAACAAATAAGAGACAAGAATAAAAAAAAGGTAAAGAAAGGATTGAAGCGAATAAAAACATTGTCTCGAAGGTTATGGCATTAAAAGTGCTTTAAACTTTTTTCTCTTGCTCACTGTCTTTTTTTTGCCATCATCTTCGAGATATGTGTATATTTTTTGTTCGCTCCTTTCAGCTTCTTTTTCCTTTTTTTCTTGCTCCTTCAAACGTGAAAAGCTCTTTCAATGATATGAACAGAATAGGAAGAAGATCTTTAACATCTAAAAAAAATAAAGTTTTCCGTTTACTTTAATGCAAGGAAAATGGACGATATGATGACATGAAAAATGAAATTTAAAGACCAAATAATAATATATTGAAATTTAATCATTAAAATGCAGCATCAGTTGAACGTGAAAGCTCGAATAAAAAGTTTTAAAGTTAAAAACTTTCGTCGATGCGGGACATGATTGAAATTTTAAGTCACTTCTAAGATGGAATATTCATATTGCCTTGTGATAAGACAGCTTCATATCCTTTACATCTTGGAAAGAAAAAATTATAATTTATCATCGTAGCTTTATAAAGCTATATAGTTACACTCCTGACAATTCTATTTATACTTAATGATGTCATCACACAGCCCCAACTTTTTCTTATCACAAAACCACCCCAAAAATATTGAATTTCTTCTCGAATACCTTATTTACCGAGAACTTTTTAAATCTGTGTCAGAACACAAAGAGCATCTTTTTTGTAACATCCAAAATTGACGTTTTCAATTTTGTTAAAATGAACTCGGAACCTTTTGAGTGAAATCAAGCAACCAAATTGCATTAAGTATTAGATTTATTTATACAGTAACTTTGAGAACAATGGCTGTATAAAGTTGAAAATAGAATTACGGATGAAAATCACAACAACACCTGAATACCCTATCTAAAGGCAATATCTTTAAAAGCATCAAATTTAATAAGAGCATGAAAGATTTGAAGGAGCAACTTGTCATGGAAAAATCCTTAAAAACCAAATGCAATTGAAATTTTTTTTCACATTTTTTTTATTTAATTTTTAATGCATTACAAAAACCAATAAATATACATATCAATATATTTGTAGTCAGTAAACCTAAGCCCACACAAAATGCATCATCAACAGCCGCACATCCTGCATTACAGATGCACCCACTTGCTGCTGGACGTAAGTACCTACTACTAAAATTCTATCCATAGACTATTTTGAATGATTCGAGTATAAAACAAAAACTCTCTTTTTATCGAGGCTTGCAAAAGTTTTCTTGGTGATTTATCAGAAAATAAAAAAACAGCTTTAATTCACTTTTTTTATATTCACACAATAATTCATATTTTTTATCCATCATCCTACTTTACCTTAGGGGCTGTTCACTTATTACGTAACGCGAAAAAATGACTTCTTAGACCCCCCCCCCCCTCGTAACAAAATTTGTATGAAAAAAAAATTTCCTTGTTTGAATCGTAACAAAATCTTAGACCCCCCCTCCCCCTAAAAGCGTTACGTAATAAGTGAATGGCCCCTTACTTACTTATTGCAACAAAAAAAATTTAATAATACCAACCAAAATATTATTCAAAGTAAAAACTCACTTATTTATCTCGCGTTTGCTGTTATTTACTTTCTGATTTTGCAAAATTCTTTTAGTGCATCTTTCTCTGACAGAAGAAAAATGTTTTATTTCAATTGTTCAGCAATTGGCTGTTGTTTTAGATGAGAGTGTATTTCCAAAGGGAAAAATGCGCCAAAAAGAAATTTGAAAGTTCCACCCCATACTCATCCTTGCTGCCCTCTTTTTCATTTGTTTTTCAATCGAAAAATAAACTGCAAGAAAATTGAAAAAGTTTTTGATTATGCAAAAAAAGAAAAGCAAGCAAAAAAATCATCTACAAGCATCTTGTTCCACTTTCATGCAAAGAATATTTTTAAAAATGAATGAGAAGAAAAAAGTTCACAATTATTGTGAAGAAAAAAATCATATTTATTTTTATAATTCCAAAAGTAAAAGAAAATCGGAACTGGAATTGATGAAGGAGAAAATTTGTAAAACTTTTTTTTTCGACCATTTCATTTCGGATTTTTGGTATAGATAATCTTGTGGGGAATTTTCATTTCGTCAGAGTATTCTTCAAAGGTCATTGAAGCCTGTCTGATTCTCATATTGTCTGAATTTCGACAGATGAGGATTCTCGAGTAAAAAGTCCTTGGGGGAGTTGCTTTGAAATTAAATTGAGGTACAGTACATTGTTGTTCAAATATTCATACGATCAAACTTAGTGCTTTGAAACTAGAGAATTATAGATTTTAATATCAAATCCTATAATGATGAAAAGTTACAGAGAAATTCATAGCCTTGCAGTTTCATCAAAAATTTCACTTTTTTAACTTCTGATTTCATCTCATTAAAAAAAGTCAAGGCATAAATACACATGCCATTAATGAAACAAGGCAATTAACGACATGAAAAGCAACGTTGCCTTAAGTTTTTACAGAAACAAAGTCAAATGTAAAAGGCTAATGATAAACAATATGTACGCGACAATTTAATAAGCAAACATGAAAAAGTCATTAGATATCTAATGAGGCTTCAATAGAAATCATGCAAATTTTCCTAAATTCAATTTCCGATATTTCAATTCTTTTTGAAAACAACATGCTTTATATTCTCATCATAAAATTTGATGTCATCAAACAGAACAATTGCAAGAAAACAAAAAAGTTGGAAGTGAAAGAAAAAAATCGCAAGCAAAAGCAAGCAAAGATAAAAGAAGAATTAATTTGCAATTTCTTTTAAAATGCAATGTGCAACCTCACAAGAACATTTCTTTCCCTCACAGTTGTTCTTTTCGATAAACTTTTTCCTGTCCCAAAGTCGGTACTTTTCTCTCGCAAATAATTATGAGAATGAAAATGAGAAAAATTATTTTATAAAAACAGCATAAAGTTTGCGGCCCTTTAATTATTTCTTTATTCATGAACAGAACTTCATTTACTATTTTCGTAATTCCTGTTTAAAAAATTATTGATGTAAAAAAATTTCTGTTGTCTTTTATCCACAATTCTTTCCAGACTTAGGGGCACCGTTTTTTCCCGGTGGCCATGAATTATGGCATCATCCATTAGCATATTCAGCAGCAGCCGCTGAATTGCCAGGTTCTGCTGCAGCCTTACAACACGCAACGCTAGTTCATCCGGCTCTGCATCCTCAGATGCCGGTGAGGTCTTACCTCTGACTAAATAATGAGCAGGTGAATATTAACATTTAATTATAATTTTGTGATTTGTATATAGTGTGACTCATATGAGACTATTGATATGATGGATGAACGAATTTTAGTCGTATTCGCACCGCAATTGTTGAATTTTAATTTTATAACGTAGCATATTTAATAATACTCATGTCTACATTTTATAGTCATATTAAACGTAATTTGACATAATTTAATGAGGCATTTAAGCAAAAAAAATACTAAAGCGGTGTGAATATGATTGAAATGGTTTAAAATCATCCACGCCCATCATATTTGACATTGACTTATCAACAAATGACATCGCGACTATTAAATATGGGAAATAAATGTTCATTATTCTGATTTTTGTTGTGACATTACGACAAATAAATGACAAAAGTCGCTGATATGTTATTACCCACAGAGCAAAAAAAAAATCAAACCCGATGATGGGCTTTTGTATGTTGACTGCGGAGTAATAATAATGCCAAACGAAAAAATTTTAATTTATCCACAATATATTTTTTACATAACATGCCATCACGCGACTCAAGCGACTTACTCGACAAAGCTAATAAAAGATTTACATTTGTTTGATTAAAATGAGGTTGAAAATGTGTCCCTTAGACTTGACTTCATGCACATACTCACCACACTCGTGCTCCCTTATAAAAGTCAATTTTCATATGCATGAGATCATGAAAACACTTCACCATCCATAATAATACGGCACGAGAAGTCAAGTTAATGAAAAAAGAGAGAAACATACATTTCATTAAGTACTATAAAGCATCATGCATCAAAAAAAAATTAAATTATGATTTTTCCCGTCCTTTTCCGTGTGTGAACGTGTTTCCTTTATATGTTTGTGTGTGTGTCTGACTCGCAAAGCTATTTATTTCACTATGCACGACAATTAACAACAATGAAAAATTACACCGTCAGTCATAACTTTTCATTGAGCTTAAAAGAAAGATTTATGCTGAATTTTTTTTTTAAAAATAAAAAATGTGTATGAAATTATACTGAAAATATATAGTTGTGGGTTGGAACTACTATTAGCTTAATGTACATGATTTAAGGCGCAATCTCTTCTGATTTGTAGAAAGTGTCATTTGTAATTTGATTGACTGGTTGTCTGTCTGTAAGCAAGCATTATTGTTGAATTTATGAATGCTTGCAGTTTTAATTTAATTTTTCGCATTTCTTCACAACTTTTCATTCATATGGGAGCTTAGAGAACAGAATTTAAAATGTTAGGTATTAATTAATTTAAAAATATTAGCTAGCATAGCCATGAGTATTCAGTGAAATTTCCTGTTTAATTTTATCCGATAATTTAAGAAAAAAAATGACGTGCAATCCTCATTAAATGTAAAATGCGCTTCAGTGAAATTATCCAAAAAAAAAAACAATATTCAGATGTAGATGTGAATGAGCGCCTTTTTTCATGCATGAACACTACACGTCTCTCATTTTCTTTTTGTTTTGTTTTGTGGCACGATATCATGCGATAAAGCCGTTTTTCTCATTATTATGGAAATTTTTATTCCTATGTCGCGAGAGAGAGAGAAAAAAACAAAGAAAGAAAAAGCAATTATAATATGCGAACGAAACGAGACTTACTGGTGACAAAGCTTCGTTGACTGAGCTTAATACCTGTTCGAAGGAAATAAATGAAAAATAAAAATCAATAAAAGCAAAACTTTTTTTCAGCAGCAGCAACAACAGCAACAAAATTTATCAATTCAGCCCCATCATCCATCACAAACAATGCATTTATCTGGAGCATCAGCTGGCCTTTCTACCGGTCATTTTTTAGCCAGCCCAGCATTAGCAAGTCCTGTTGGTTCAACTGGAACTACCCAGCCTCCTAATCAACCAATATCTGCTAATGCTCCATGCTCGACATTATTTGTTGCGAATTTAGGTCAATTTGTATCTGAACACGAATTGAAAGAGATATTTGCTAGGTAAGTGTCAAATATGTCCATTTACGATTTTGTCTCTAGCCTCCTACCTTCACCTTCTCCTTTTTTCCCATTCCAAACTGTCCATTCAATAGATTTAGTTATGTATTATCTTCTATTTTTTTTATTGGTTTTTATATTATGTATTGCCTCAATTCCAAAATTTGATATACCCCACTACCTTCCCTTTAGACCGTCTATTTTCTTCAACATCCATTTTCATTATATTATTGAGTTTCATTTACGCTGCTGCGTTGATGGTAATCGAAGTTTATTGAATGAATGAATGTCATAGAAAAAAAAATGTATAGTTTGTTATTATGTTCACATGTCGTGTGTCTCTCTTTGTCTCCCTTTTCAAACTAAAGTCATAGACTTTCATAGGTAAATTACCGCGACATGATTTGTGATATAACCAGTAAAAAGCCAATATGTAGGTAAATTTGAATTGACGTAGTCGCAATAACTACTGCATTGTAACGATATTTTCGTGTCCTGACAAAATCATAAATCATTTTGATGCGCCATTCAATAAATTTTCCTTTACCATCCCGTGCTTAAAAGCTATATAGATTTCCACTGTCTATTTTTTTATACTCATTTTTATATACCAACCATGATTTATATGTTATTTTATTTCTCTCATTCACCTTCTAAATGTGATACACAAAAGTTTTTGCCTTCTTTTTATTCTTCTTGTTAACCTTGCCTCTTTACTTTATTTTTATTTTCTTTATTTTCTCGCGTTGAACCATCTAATTGTGTTCTATTTCATTCACCAAAAAGCTCTTTCGGCCTGTTTCACTAAAGTGGATTATCCTCGATTTTTGACTATCCACTTCAGTTTTTTGTGAATATCTTAAACTTTATGCGAGGTGTGGTATTTTTAATTTTGGATTATAATAAAGTGAAGTATACCTGAAATTTCTGTATACTTTAAACTTTTACTTTTTGTTAAGAAGTATTAATTATTCAATTTTCTAGCAAAATCTAGTAGATTAACTTCGATTATTGCTATAATTCTCAAACGAATGAAGATATAAAAATTCTAAGTATATTTTAATTTAAGTAGCAAAATACTCTAAATCGATCACACATTAGATCTCTTAATAACCTTAAGCGTCTGGAGATATTTCTAAAAAACTTAAGTGGATAATCCAAAATCGAGGATAATCCAATTTAGTGAAACAGGCCGTTTATTTTAACTCGATTTTCGCTATTTGTGTTTTTATTTTACAATGGGTGAACTACTTTCAAAACTAATTTCGGATGTGCCTTTTGACATTGGAAACTTGATGTTTAAATTATTGTCACTATCGAAATAATTTTTGTTACAATATTTAAGTATTAAATCTGAAGTTGTTCACCCTTTTTGAAAATTATTCAATACCACAAAAAAGGCAGTCGATGAGTTTAAGTTTTTCTCTTCTATTATTGTTGTTTCGCTTTCGTATAAAAAATTAAAACCAAATCACCAAATAAAGACGAAAATTATTTTTTTGCTTATCACCCAATTGGCCATAAGCAATTTACGTTTTTGTCATTTATTAAATTAGTTTAGTTAAAGCTTTTTTTTACAACACGACCATTGTTTTTTTTTATTGAAACTGAAACAAATTATTCTCTCATGGGCAATTCCACGAGTAAAGGGATCTGAGAAAAAGCAAGTTGTAATATTTTTCTACTTGTAGGAATTTGAATTTTTTTTTACCGTTACAAATTTTCAAAAGATTCAAACTAATTTTCATTGCCTTGATTATTATTACGATTATTTTACAAAATTATGATGTTAACATGAAAAAAACAAATTAAATTCATTATTAACCCAATAAAATGTTATTTTTCGAAGAGAAATTATTCTTAGCAATAAATAAATTTAACGGGAATTCAAAATTCAAATTTTCTGTTTTTTGTTGGTTTTGGATAAAGCGCTGAAAACTTAACCGATTAACGCAGTATTTTGTAATTTTCTCTGTGAATAAAGCATTTAAGAACAGAAAAAGTTTACAAATAAGTAGAAAAAGTGAATATCTATGGCTTAAAAATATACTTGAGCACAAAAAATGGATATTTGAAGACTTTTTTAAGGATATAAGAAGCGAAATTTTTGTAAACCTAACCGATTAACGACGAAAAAACTGAATTATTTCAGTAAATAGACCTTTAAACGTTTAATTAACTTTTTTAAAATGAATATCTTGAGTTATTACTAATTATAAATTTTTAAAAGAACGGAAAAAGGTGTTATTTTAAGAGTCTTTTGATCAAAAAGAATTTTACTTGCATTTTTTCACTCATGGAATTGCCCTCATTCATTCATCGTTTGTCGATTATTTAATTAGAGGTCACAAAGTTCAAAGTAAAATGATCATCGTCATGATGATTGAAGAATGTATCCATACATTTGTGTGTCTATGTTCCATTTAATTGAGACAACTGTGAAACTTTATATTCATTCTGAGAGTATCTTGAACTGTACTATAGTATCTAAAGAAACTACAGAGAGACATAAACAGTTCAACAGAAAGATATGAACATTTTGGAATAATTGAAAAATTCTGTCACAGATCTATTCAAGTGAAATGAAATTTTAATGAATATCTGAGGGATTTCTCATCATGATGATGATGAAGATATGGTGGGGAGAAAATAGAACAGATATGTCGCAAATCCGATACAACAACATTGTATAAATTTTGATTGAAAATTTGGCAGAAGCGCATTTATCTTTTACTGTTTAAAGTTACTTACTGTTCAACGGGAGGAAATAAAACTTATAAGATTTTTTAACAAAACAAAAATTTCAATAATAATCAGAATTTCCAATGATTTTTAACTATGCTCTTCACTTCCAAACTTCATTAGTAATTATATTCACCATGCGTGCAATAAAAGTTCACAATTACTTTTGCAGAATAGTAAAACCAAACAAAAGCTCTTAAAACTATCCACAAAGCTTTGTTCTGAAATTATCGACCGAGCTCTTTCATGTTCAACAATTCAGACAAAATAAACACAAAAACGCAATTATTTTACTGTTTTCTCCACAAAGTGCATTAAAACACAAGCAAGAATGCAAGCATTTGAGACATTCAACCGACAACTATTGTCCGCAATCATGGAATTTTCTCAATCATGAATTTTCACTCAAAATGGCATAGACAAACAAATTTATGCATATACGTGTATATATGTTTGAGGTAGAAAGAATGAGAGAAGTTGTGTGGAAAATTTACATTTTTTACTTTATAGCTTCAGCTAAAACCATCAGCCATAAAATGCTATGTCACACAATATTGCAATAATGTTTATGGAAATAAAAAAGAATGAATGAAATGAGAAGAAGCAGAAAATTTTTCCATTTCGTGATGAAAGTAAATTTTAATGTAAATTTTCCACCTACAAATTCAGTCATACTTACTTACTTTATTGCTTTGCTAACGTGATGATTAAAGTTCAGATTTATACTCAAATACAAAATTGTAATAATGATGATGGCAATATTGCTTATGGACATAAAATATATCTATCTGCAAATAGAGCATTTTTATCACTGGCCTATATTATTTCACTTAATCCACTTAGCTTATTATTGTTTGGTTAATTATAATTCAATTTTCTCAAAAAAGTAGCCAAAGGGCATGGAACTCGAGAAGTTCAAAATTATTTTTTTAAATCGAGGCTTAGACTAACCAATTACATAAATTTAAGATTTTAAAAATGTTAGTAGACGTTCTCATTACGACGAATGGACTTCTAAATTTTTAGAATGTATTTCTCAGTACATAAATATTAATGCATTCAAAATTTGCTTCTATTTCATTTCGGTAGTTCACAACAACGATGCCCAAATTCATACTTTAGAGCATACTAAGCTCTAAAACCTTTAACATAACATAACGGTATGGTAAAAATTTAATAATTTAGTGTCTAAGCCTTTACAAAAAAAAAAAAAGAAAAGAAAAATCGACATGAATTGACATGCAACAAATCAGTTCCATTCCCTCTAGAAATGAGAAAAAAAAATACTATTTCTTTCTTATGTAGATCATGATGATTATTATTATGTTGATGAGTTTGCATTATTCTTGGAGTAAAAAGGTCTCTGCTCTTTCTTTGTGCGCGATTGAAATCTCGTCATTTAAGCTAAATACACAAACACAAATTGACAGTAAAAAATAAGATTTGTAATGCGGTTTTTGATTTAATAACCTTGTTGACTAGAAATTGAGCACAAGATTTATATCGATGACAATAATTTGATTTGAAATTCAATGAGTTTCGAGAATTCGATAGAGAACCGCAATTGTGGATGTAGATGGATATTTTTGTTTCATGAATTATGCAAATTCAGTGGTCTTGGAAAATTTTGTCTCGTTTTTGTAGAGGAGGGGAAATAAAAAAGATATCAATATTAATTAAGCATTACAGCATTTGACAACATTTTCCCAGTAGCATTCTTAAAACCACAACCAAATCAACAAAATCTTTTACTTTTCAAAGTTTAATTTTCGTCAATTTTTCCGTTCTTTTTCCACTTTCTTCTTTTTTTAAATGCAAAATTTTATATTCAGTGTCGGACATGCAAATTAAAAAGCAACCTAAAAGTCTCTAAAAAGCAATATAATGAAAATGGCACCTTAAATACACACAACTTTTTATTCCTAAAATTCTTACTGTTTTTTGTGTTGCTCGCAAAAGAAAATAATAATAATGAAAAATAATTATATGTTGTTGCGCTCATAATCATGAAAAAAATTAATTTTTTATGTTGTTTTTCTTTTCTTTTTATATTTTTTTTTTCAAATCTCATTCTTGCACCACAACCACCAATACCACTACGACATCACTTTTGCGTTACGTTATTTTTGCAATCTACACACAATCAATCACCTTTGCTACCCCCCGTACGTAACTTTTAATTCCATTATAATTTCATGAAAAAAAAAATTGCCATCTAACTGGTAAACTGACCGACAACCGAACAACAAAAACAAAATGTTTTTTAATTACAAACCGCATAAATTTTTATTAACTTGCACCTTTTTATATTCAACCTCTTCGTACGGATGAATAAAATTTTGTACGGAACATGAACAAATCCCCCGACAACAAAAAATCAATTTAAATTATGTTGAACATCCATATCATCATCCTTTTTAACACCTTTTATTTTATTATTTCATTTAAAACCACAATTACCATCTCTCTATCTCTCTCTCCCTCCCTCTCTTTGCTCACATCATATACTTTTCCTGTTGTTTATTTCATTTAATGCTCAAATTTTTAACTCATATTTTTTTTTATTATTCAAACATCACATAAACACCACCACACCACATATACACAAACATTTCATTTTAAAAAAATATCTAAAAAATATATAAAAAAAATATATTGAAAAATATAAAAAAAAAATGTAACGTGGATGTCGACAACGACTCTTGATGATGATGATGATGATTAGCTTGCCTGGCTTTAATCGTCTACGAATGCAGCATACACAATTAAAGTCAATGTCACAACCACCTACACAACAAATATCTAATCCAGCGACAATTCAACAATTAGCACATTCTGGCTGTGGACAACAGGGAACGATAACAACGAACTACAACAATAACAATAGTCAACATATACCAGTTGCATTTGTTGAATTTCGCGATACTCAAAGTGCTGGTCAAGCGATGCAACTATTACAAGGCAAATACTTATTGTCATCTGATCGTGGAGCAATGCGCATTGAGTATGCCAAGTCAAAGATGGCTGCAAATGAGCATATGATTGCAGCATTTCAAGCATCAATGACACCGACAGTTATGTACAATGGACATCGAGTACATTATAAAATTTAATAAAAAAAAAACTTTTATGTTCTGTCCTTTTTAAAAATAATAATTGCATCAAAACAAAAAAAACCAACCAACAACATCAACAACAACTACTTCTATAATAGTAATAGTTACTGCATCCAAAAATGATAATTAATTAATTTTTTGTCTTTATTGCACCTCTCAAAAAAAAAAAATAAATATCAAATATAATTAAAAATATAAAATCGCACTCCAGCACCATCCGAGCACAAATGTTATCACAAAAATAACGTAAGAGAAGTATGTTTTTTTTATTATTATTTTATGTTAGTTCCTTGCTATGTTTCTCTCTATCTTTATATAATGTATATGTACTTCAAATCTTTTCAAACACTTTTCAACTTTCAATTGCTTGTAGATTTTCAATGAACAATGATGGGATAAGATGATAAGATAACAAAAGTTGTTGATTCTTTTAAGAAGAAAAGTTTTCTTTTATTTTTATCAAATCTTTAAGGGAATGAACAAGTTTTCACTTTAAGGCGTCCACAACTTCTTCGGATTGGAAAAGTTTTCACAAATTTTTAAAGTGTCGAATGAGAAAGTTTAATGAATTTTAGTAAGAGAATTTTTATAGTAAAATTAGTAATTTTATTGTGGACTAGTCTGGAACTTACAGCTTAATATAATTATTATGTAGAATTCTTTTCGTGGAGACAAGAGTTCTGTCCATTTAGGATTTAAAGTCGAAAAAAGTTTACTATTTAAAGAAGCACTTCATACAAAAGTTCTGTTCATTTTAATTCCAACTCAACTGGAAAGTTTTCAAAATTGAGATTTTAATTTGTTAATCAAGAACTCTTTCTTCTTTTTAATTGAAGTCAAAAAAAGTAAATGATTTTTCATTCGACTGAACACTTTTTGCAAAAGACACAATAAAAAAACTTGTAAAAGCTCAAATTTGATAGCTAAATAGAGAGCATTGCAGCAATGAAGATCTACAAGTCAATTAGAATTTAAATTGAATGCAATTGAAAGCAAAGCAAGTAAATGAAAAAGAGCATAATTGATAAGAGAAGAAAATTTCATTTTATATACATCTAATTGTTTTTAATTAACACCAATTGAGAATGAGGAAGAAAATGCACTTGAAAGTTCATCCATATTTTTTTTGCATGTTGCAATAATCGGACCAAGAAAAAAAATGAGAACAATAAAAATGAAAAAGTTGAGAAAAGTTTCTGAAGAAATAAAAGAAAAAAATTAAATTTTTCTTCTTATCTCATTTTGGAGGAGGTAACTTAACTACAGCAATCCATTCATTTATCCATTTTGTGTCTTAATACAATCAGAGTTGTATTATTATCCATCTTACGATTACCCTTGAGGACTCTTCACTTCATTCTTTTGCTTATTTACTTACTTGCTTACTTTACTTCTCAACGTCTCATGCATTATGGAAGGGAACTAACGATAAAGTATATCATGGGATTACTGAAGGAAGCGCATTCTTGCTATGAATATTCTATGAGTCCGTTGATAAACATGGAAATAAATCATTGTCAAGAAAGCTAGTAAATTTTTAAGTTTCGTAGAAAATTAAGACTTTTGTAAACTTGAGCTTAATTTGTTTTCAATTTTTATGAACTTTCCTGAATTTTGAAAACTGAGAATTTTAAAGTTTGCAAATTAATTGAAAAATTAGTCAAAAACCATAAAATCCATCGAAAATCAGTTCCATAAATTTTATGAATTTTACTTGAAATGCACTTTGGTTAAAGCTACAATTCACTTGAATTCCGGTTAAAAAATTCTTCCATTCAGCACCAGATGAAGAATAAGTTTTTTATTTGCAGTGGTATAACGAGTGATACCGCTGCTGCTTGCAACAAATAACAAATTTTATGAAGTTTTATGGCATGAAAATAGAGAATATAGCGAAATTTATGCTCGAGTAAGGAAAGAAAAAGTTTTTTTTTTCAATTGTTGTTACTTTACTGTTAAGAGAGAGTAAAAAATATTATGATTAACACCAAGTAAAGTCGTTGATATCAAAATGCTATTATTTAACAATCCTTTACTATTTTGTGAAATCTATTTATCGCACATAAATTTTCATGTGTAATATTCACGTTGTAGAGACGAAAAAGTTTGTTAAAAGTGAAATTTATCATAAGCGTGCTGATGCATTTATGCCGTAAATATTTTCGCACATGTTACCAACCTCACACTTTTAATACTTTTATGTATCATCTGCTATGAAAAAATTGGATAATTTTTGCTCGAATACTGCTTGCTGAATTATTAATGTAATTTTATTATGAATGGTTGCAGTCCAAGGTTTTAAAATTCACAGTGATTTTTTTATGTTTTGGACAGTCATAGGGTCATAGCTAGAATTCTATATATTAAAGACTTAGTATTACTAAATTCAATTTAAACCTTAAGCCGCTACAGTTGTCCAATTTTTATCACAACCACACGATATATTCATATACCTGGAATTCGCCGTGTTTTTTAATGCTTCCAATATTACGTACACATTTTATGGCACTCGTTATCCCTCCAAAAAAAATGTATAATAAATTTAACATCCATTTATTGCAACATACATGAACCGAAAAAAAAAAAATTAATAAATTTTATTGGAATTGCATGAGGATTATTAATAATATTGCTATAAGGTCATTCCAACATTTTTTTCCTTTCTCTCTATCTTTCACGTATTTCTTGATAAAAAAATGAGATATTATTATTGAAAAACCTCCAATATATAAATGCAACATAAAAAGAAGCATCAACAATTTGACTAATAAAATGTTTATTTTTTTCTGTTTCTTCCTTTTGCAACCCTTTTAACTGGGTTAATTTTACAGAGGCGCTGGAGTTGAACGTACATCACTCGATCAACATTTGACCAAAAAAAGCGAAAGGGATCTGGGAAACTTTTTAATGGCATCGACTTGACCACATCATAATCATAATACAACCAAGTACAACAAACATCAACATAACGGTTATCATCATTGGATGAATATACATCATAATAATAAAAAATATCAAAATTATTTAGCGATAAATTTTCCTACGGAGTGCAGATACATTTTGGGGAAGTAGAACATTTAATTTTATTTAAGTCATTTTCTTTACAAATTTAAATTTTTCCAAAAAAAAATTATATGATAAATTTTAAATGCAATTTTAAGGAATGACAAAAAATGTGAAAAAAATTATCAAATGAATTAACTTAACTAAAACTAACAATGATTCAATGGAAATTTTCAATCAAATACATATCAGCATAGTGCTTAGAAAATTTTCGTAAAATTATATGAAAAATTTTCTAGATTATTTTTCAAAGAACTAAGAAAAACTATTAAGTATATAAGGAAACTATGAGATGAGTCTCGCATTTTTTCTGATGGAAATGAAAAATGATAAAAATGAATTAAAATCATATTATATTATATTAAATTATATATATTAGAGTAATATTTTAAGTGAAGAAAAGATATAAAAAAACTATATAAATTGTCTTATGTGACATTTGGGATTTATGGTCTCGCTAGAGGGAATTATTATGAAAAAAGTTTTTCCTGTCTTTTCCTTTTTTCTCATTCTAATCTAAAAATTATTGATCCCCAATTTTATACCTATGTATAATGCGGTTTTTTGTTCGTTTTTGTTTCTCTCTATCTTTGTTGAATTAAAGGAAGTTTTTGTTTGGCATGGTGTGGACATTCAGGGTTAATTGTGGAGATAAGTTTGGAATGTGTGTTTATTCATTGATTTTAACTGACTTTTATGGTCATTTCAGTCTGAAACTAGAATTTTACAATATTAAATAAACTAAGTTTGCAGTATAATATCCAAACTATTGCCTTTCTCTACAAAACACAAAAGATTATTTCAAAATCTTGAAATAATCATAATGCAAACCAATTAAAAAATTAATAAAGTTTAAAAAAAATCACCACAGTCACTTACAACAATTTCCTCACCATGCTCTTGTTCCTATATTTGTTTTTATAGAAAAAAAAAAGAATTTTTCGAGCTATATGAAAAAAAAGAATGAAACTTAATTACTGTCGAGCTCGACATGTCCTCAGCAATTTTCATTCGGTAAAGTTGCGATGGCAAGTCATAATTACCTTTTAATAATTATACTTACTGAATAATGCTTACTTTTTACCATAATGTGCCCTATAAAAGTATGAGAATAACCAATTTTACAAAAAAAAAAAAGAATATAAATTAAAATGAATGAAAAAAATTTTACCTATGAAGTGGGTGGAATGGATATAAAAAAAGTGGGAATAATGAAAAGAAGTTTTATGGGGTACCAGCAAAAAAAAAGGGTTAAAAGAGGAATGGTGCGGAACTGAAAAGAGTTACATCGAAGAATAATTAATAATTTTTCTCATTCCATACAAATGTAATATGCCAATATTGACTCGTCTCGAAAGGAAATTTTCCTCATTGTCATCGTTTACTATTAGTTCACAGACATGAAATTATTCAACATGGTTGTAACAACAGACGATGATATTGAGAAAATGAAAATCCCTTTATTGTAATGAAGATAATAGAATTAATATTAATATCATTGAAAGACATTTGCAATTAAGTACGGTGGATTTAATTGAATTTCTTACAAACGAAGTGAGTTACTCACTTTCCAAGGAAGACGGAGCATCTTTTGTGATTTTGACAAATTGAATTGGAAGATTTGTAACTTCCTTAATTGTTGCAAAGTCGAGAGCAATGTTAAAAGCTTCATTATGTCGCAAAGTCTTAAATTTATAAAATCTGAAGTTAAAATCTGAAGTTTTATGATCAAAACCATTTTTTTAATTTAAAGACTTAATATTAAGTTTCAGTCCCGATTTTTAAAACAAATATCCTTTTTTGAAACTTAAGAAGACATTGTTAGATAAAAGCTTATATTTCATGCGTCCCAAATCTTTTTTTATTTAATATTAAATCAACTTTGCCAATTCAAAAAGAACCAAAAACTTTGCTTTGTCTCAATTTAAAGTTTT